GGATAGTTGATTATGTGGTGGGGCTTCAGCAGTGCATGTCACCACCGCTTCTTCTGGTGGCCTTATAAAGTCTTTGCCTTCTGGCCGATCAGTGATCACTTCCAGGATTCCAGGACGATTGGTATTTCCTATTCAGGCCTGCTGTGTGATTAAGGTAATCCATTTACTCCACGTAGTGTTGGTGGCATGATGAGTAGATGGAACCTTACCCTTGAACATCCAGCTCTCAGCACCGCTAGTCGTGGCGCCAGGAGGAGCTGTGCTTCAGCCCCAATCACCTTCCGAAGCAGCTCTGACTCCTTCATACGCTGCCACTATTTCTTTTTCAGTGGAAATATAATTGGCCTCAGAGCCCTTCTATCCTTGGCTCCCGAAGCCTGGAGGTTGACCTCGGGTCTCCCCTGGTGCTCTCTGCCACAAGCTCCAGGCAGGACAATTATCCCCAGCCGCAGTACAGAGTATATTTTTAATGTCCTGTCCTGTTCAGACTGAACTGACGGACACTGTGTGTGCAATTTCCTCTTCGATTTGTTCAAAGGGCTGTTGTTGTTCCGGGCCCCTGTCAAATCTGTTTCTCTCCCGAGTCACTTTGTACAGAGGTTTCACAACCTGACTGTACCTGGGAACGTGAATTCGCCAGAAACCCACAATGCCCAGGAACACTTGTGTCTCCTTCTCGTTCTTTGGTGGAGATGTTATTTGGCTGTTATTTTGTTGATCACATCCATCGGGAACTGGCAATGCCCATCTTGCCGTCTGACTCCCAGAAACTGGATCTCTCGTGCAGGCCCCTTGTGCCTCTTTTAATGGCACAACCGGCTTCCAGAAGAGTATGAATTATTTTCTCCCCTTTCTCAAAAACTTCTGCTGTGATCCCCCATACAATGGGGGATGCCATCGATGTACTGCAGACGCTCAGGAGCTCCATGCTTTTCCAGTGCAGACTGTATCAGTGCACGGCAAACTGTGGGACTATGTTTCCACCCCCGGGGCAATCGATTCCAGGTGTACTGGACACCCCTCCAGGCGAAAGCCAACTGCAGACTGCACTCCCACTGCCACAGGAATAGAGAAAAACACATTTGCAGTGTCAATAGTGGCATACCACTTGGCTGCCTTTGACTCCAGCTCGTACCGAAGTTCTAACATGTCCGGCACGGCAGCACTCAGCGGTGGTGTTACTTCCTTCCAGCCACGATAGCCCACTGTCAGTCTCCACTAGCCATTGGACTTCTGCACTGGCCATATGGGGCTGTTAAATGGTGAGCGTGCCTTGCTGATCACCCCTTGGTTCTCCAGTTGACGGATCAGCTCATGGATGGGGATCGGGGAGTCTCTATTTGTACAATATCGTTGCTGGCGCACTGTTCCATGGCAAGGGGCACCTTTGTTCCTCGAGCCTCAGCAGCCCTGCATCAGAAGGGTCCTCCGATAAACTGGGCAAGGCAGACATACGCCTGCCACCTGCCAGCAGGGAGGAGGGACGAAGGAGGAAGAGCAGGAAGGAGGAAGTGAGGGAGGTAAGGAGGCTGCATTTGGCAGCTACCTCCAGCAGCTAGAGCCAGAGTGGCTGACAGTCACTGTGGGAGAGGCTCGCAATGTCCTCAGCAACTTCCACCACCTCTTTGCCCAGCGGCCTGGATGTCCTGATGACTTTCCCCGATGTGCTTTTTGTTCCTGAGATCGTGAGTACTGACTTTTCCCTGGGGGAGGGCAGATGCTGCTTGTGGGGCACCCAGCACACTTTGTGCTGCAGTTGTCTGAGGGATAAGACTTGACACAAAGCATGTCGTTCAGGAGCCACACCAGGTCGCTGAGCCACAAGGGTCTGGGGGGCAGCCCCCAATGCCTAGCTCACCCTTAAAGAAAACCATTGGAAAAAGCCCTGAGCTGGGGCTCTGAAGCTCTCCTTCAGTCTGCAGGGGATTTTTGTGGTGCCTCTGAAAACTTTTCATAAGTTCCTGCCTAACAAAGTTGAAGGGGTTGCTCGTGGGTTTTAACTAGGTTGCCAAATGGAGCCAATTAATTGGAATTTTAGCAGCTGATACAGGCAGAAGATAAACTGCTTGCTTAAAGCAGGGGATAAATGCTAGCTGAGGTAATTGTTTGCAGCAGCAAAGGGTCTAGGCTGCTGAAGCTGTACTGCTCAGCTGCAATGTTCCTGAGCTGGGGGTGCAGAGTGCTGGACCTGGGTGTATGGGGAACAGTGGGTGAGCAAAGGGTGAACAAACACTTTGTAACTTCTTCCCATATTGTATTTCATCTGAGCAGGAGAAGATTATGATCTTAATGGGTTTGACACAGGTGATTAAAAGCAGTTGCTGTGAGCACTGACTAAAAGATGGAAAGTTTCAAGTAGAACCTTTTTCCTGTGTCCTCTGCCCCCACCCATGAAATCTGATCTTCTCACAACAGTTTGAGAGGCTTTTTGCAAAGCCTGTGCACCTTCATCCAGCACTGAGGGGTTTGGCTGAGTGTTGTAGGACGGTGTTCAGATTATTTTATGCTAAAAACTTCAGCTTTGCCATCTGGGACCAAATCCTTTCCTGCTACTCAACTCAGTCCACCCTCCTGGGATTTACAGCATTTACTTCATTCTCCTAGTGACAGCAGTCAGGCAAAGAAGAATTGGGTTAAAGCAGGCATTACCAATGTGTAGAGAAAGGCTTTGCTTCAGCTCCTCCAAATATGCTCTGGGGACTTGGTTTCTGAGCTCAGGCGCTGGGTGTAAGCTCCAGGCTTCCTGCAGCTGCACAAAGGGTGGCGCAGAGTCCCTTGCGAAGGTTCTGCCTGGGCGGACACTTGCCAGCCACTGCTGCCACTGGGTTGTGCTAGTCCTTGTGCTGAGTGTTCTTTTGGCCTTGGCACGCTTATGGTACCGGTATCAGCTGCACCTTGAACTGCTTATTTGTAACTCCTGTCTCCAGGGGATTTGGCAAGGCAGCTTGCTTAATGAGACCAAAATAAGCACCCTATCCTTTGGTTTGGGTAAGATCTGGAAATGTACATCCTCAAGGCTCAGGAACCAGCCAGGAAAGAGGAATGCTACATAACCAGGTTTCTCCATCTCAGGAGGTGTCAGACTCTAGGTTGTGAAGCTGTATTACCTCTGCTGTGTACAAAGGAGGCGGCTGCCTTGAATCACAGCATTCAGAAAGATAAAGAGTTTCTTAGTCCTTAGGGGAAGCTGAGGTTGCCTGCAGTGGGTTAATATGGTAACTGCAAAAAAAAAAAAAAAATTTAAAAAAATTGGCATTTCAAATGCTAAGGCAGTTGTGAAAATGCCAGAAGGTCCTGGACGAAGCTCGGATTATTGCCACATCTGGATGTGCTGCTAAAGAACTACCATTTTTATTCTGTGAGGCTGTGTTTAATTCATGTAATCTATTTTACTTGAAGAGCTTTCTGTGTATATGGATAGCCAGGCCTACGTGGAAAAGCTGAAACAAGCTGAAAACAGATCTGTTTGCTTTGTAAAAGGCTATTTAGAAGTTTTTTTAAGGCTGCTGTCCCCAACCTGCTGTGCATTTATTGAAAGCTACTTGACCCTTTCCTCATTTTTATGAATCTGCTGAACAGAAGCACCATAAAACCAAAGTCAGTAATCAAACCACATCAAACATACTTGCCTGACTGAGAAATCACATCCTGCAGAAAGGAGAGATGGGGAGTGGTAAGAAATGAGAAGTGCTGCTTCTTCCTCCAACCTCACATCTCCCCCCAGTTGTGCTGGACTTTAATGGAGCAACTGTAAGGGTTTCTGCATGATCTTCAGCTGCAAGGCAGTCGTGGTGTCACCATGTGAGTTCTTACAGTGACTGAATTAGTGTTCCAGTGTTGGTCTTTGGTTGTTACAAGAGGAACTGAAACAGCAGCACTTTGGAAGACCTATTTTCAGGCAGATATTTGTCTCGACCACATAATTGATTTAATGTATCAATTCGTGGTGGTGACACAAATGACACGACATTTTCTATGTATATATCAGAAACTTTTTTTCTATTTGCTAAATGCCTCCAAGAAAATAGAAATGCCATGATTTGTATGAGTTGGCAACAGCTGGCCTGGGATATGCTGGTGATCAGAATGATCTTAGAGGCAGTGAGACTCTTACCTCTGGAGATTTGCCTGCAAATCCAAGACCAGCTGGTGATGAGGGACAGGTGCCCACAGCAGCACCAGTCTTCACACAGTGTGGGTTCAGCTGAGGAGCTTAGGACAGGATGCTGCATAGAATAAACTTTGCACAGGTTCAAGAAAAAAACGGGCTTACCTGTAGCAGAGAAAAGCTGAATGCGTTTTAGTGCAAAGATACCACTTGCAGCTCAGAAATTCCGCAGCATTGGACATCATGCTCTCATCCTCTTGTGTAGGAATCTGCTGATGGTGAAAGGAGGGAACCTGGATATAGCTGTCCTGGTGTTCCTCACCACACGAGAAAACCCATAGCAAACTCCCAAGGCTGGCTGAAAAGAATGGAGTCCTACCTGCTACTGGACCAGCAGCTGGTACCTCGCACAGCTCTGGTGTAGCCAACAAAGGATGATCCAAATAGCTGGAGCAGCAATACAAGGGCCCTTCCCATGAGGAGCTGGAAGCCTCAACCTTATTTCTCCTACCTCAGACAGTAAAACTGGTTGTATTACCTCTCTTCAACCTGTTCTCTCTCCTCTCAGGGTGACATTTGTATGTGACTTTCATTAAGGGCCACATGTCTGTTCTGCTCGTGCAGGTGAGCTGGGTTTGACACCAATCCTTTCAGGGACCTGCCACACTAGGTGTAAAGCAAATATGCCCTTCTGAAATAAGCCTCCTTGTTCATCGAAACCAGCCTTCAAAAATTTCTGAACCAGCCTCCTAAGCACACTGACGTGGGGAGGGTGTGAATGCCAGTGACATGAGGAGGCAAGCTAAAGCAAGGCTTTTTTTGGCTCAAGATCAGAGGCAGGTGCTCCCAGCTAGTACCCAGTTTCAAGTGGAGGCTGGGAAGAACTCGAAGGCATCCCTGGACTACTGCCATATGCAGTGCATGCATGGCTTTTGGCTCTGCTCTGGGTAAGCCAACTTATCTCATGCTTGCCCTCTCTCTCCCACTTTCACTTGCAGGTCTTTGGGGGCCTTGTCTGGATCCTGGTGGCATCTTCAAGGGTCCTGTCACCCATCCTGCAAGGCTGGGTGATGTTTGTCTCTGTGTTCTGCTTCATCATGTCCACCACCCTCCTGTGCCTCTACATTGGCGGGGTGCATGGGGGCAGCAGCTCCTGGGTCACCTTGGTAAGCGGATGTGACAAACCTCAGGGCCTCTCCCCTCCCTGGTAGGCAATTGTCTCCTTTGCTGCTACTGCTCTTCAAATCACAGGTGTGTGATCCTTGTTTCTTAGGATGTCATCTGCCAGGAGACAGCAGCTCTGTTCTACCTCAGTGCTGCCGTGTTGGAAGCCTACTTCACCTATTACGTCAGCTGGTGGTCTACCAGCCCTCTGAAAACGACTGTCTACCAGGAGAACGTTGCTGCTGTGGTGAGTGCCTGGGGAAGGAAAGTGAGGAGGTGATTGTGGAGTGGCCTCAAGGGCAAATCTTTACTTGCACCAATAATTCAGGGACGGAGGAGAGAAACGAGTCTCAGTCCTACTACGCATGAATGTCTCCAAACATGCAAGAGTCAGTAGAAATATCGTGCATCACGAGGTGTTTGCTCAGCACAGGAGCTCATACCATATAATAAAAATTTAACTGGCCGATGTGTTTTTCCATTGTAGGTATTTGCATTCTTAGCTACCCTGATGTACGTGATCCATAAGGTGTGCTCGCTCCTGCGATGGAAATCATCCTAAGAGCCTCCCTTTGCAAGCACGTCTTCTTGTGTCCATTCCACAACCATGAAAGTTGTTCAATAACTGCAGTTTCCAGGATGGGTTTGGGTTTTGTTCTTCATAAACTATAAACAAGGAGCTTTTTACGTGGAACCATGGCAATGAAGACAAAGAGCCTGCCAGAGAAAGCTATATCCTGGCACAGTCTGTTTCCCTTCAGTCTCTTCTGGGTTTGGTACAGTCTGATGCTGGTAATTTGGGTCTAAACAGAAAACCATCCAGCTTTAAAAAGAATAATATAGTTGGGTTCGAAGTGCTAAAATCTCCCTGAACCACACCTTTATGCCTCCACGGTTGTTATTGCTGTCAGGGAAGCCTGAACAACTAGCACTAAGGAGCATGCGTATGAAAATGGGTCATTTTAATTGCTGCCTGCCTACGTAAGCCTGTTTCCCTCCCTAAACCTGCTGTGCCAAAAGAACATTTTCATGCAGTTTCTGGAAATGCCATCTCTGACTTCTGATGAGAAACAGGGACAATATGAGTTACTGCAGCCCCTGAAGGGTATTGCTGAATTGTGAGGCACAACCATAATGCCAGGAATTACCAGTCTTTAATCCCCCTATAAAATACGACTTAGAAGGTGCACAGTAGACTGTAGGAGACTCATATGGACGATTAGAATAACATCTTGAATAAGCAGAGGCAATCAGCTCTTGTCTTCGGTTCATGGCTGCTCTCACATACACCAGCATGATGTCGCTAATAAAGATGGGTTTGCCGTGATTTTGCAAATAGACAAGAGCTCTTTCTGCTGTTTTCCCTTCGCTGCACACAGGTACACAGCCCTGTACAGCCTCAGGAGCACTGCGCTGTAACAGGGCAGCGCCTATGGAGGAGGCACAGACTTGGCCATGAAGGAGAGGGCTTTTCTGGCAAGAGGAGCCTGTGAGGCCCTGGAGCCAGGGCCAGGGGCTAAACCAACTCGGGTTACTCTCAAGTGATGGTGTTCGTCTGAATGCTTAAATTACTCCAGGGCATTAACTTGAGTGAGTGTGCTAGTTTTGGCTGGGGTAGAGTTCATTTTCTTCATTGTAGCTACTGTGGGTTATGCTGTGGATTTGTGCTGAAAACAGTGTCGATAATACAGAGACATTTTTGTTACCGCTGAGCAGTGTTTGGACAGAGTCAAGGCCTTTTCTGCTTCTCACCCCACCCCACCAGCGAGCAGGTTGGGGGTGCACAAGGAGCTGGGAGGGGACACAGCCAGGACAGTTGACCCCAACTGACCAAAGGGATATCCCACACATCATGCTCCGCAATAAAAGCTGGTGGAAAGGAGGAGGGAGAGGGGATGTTTGGAATGATGGCATTTGTCTTTCTAAGTAACTGTAATATGTGATGGAGCCTTGCTTTCCTGGAGATGGCTGATCACGTGCTTGCTGCTGGGAAGTATTCCTTGTTTTGCTTTGCTTGCATGCACAGCTTTTGCTTTACCTATTAAACCGTCTTTATCTCAACTAATGAGCTTTCTCAGTTTGACCCTTCTGATTCTCTCTCCCATCCCACCCTGGGATTTGAGTGGAATAAGTGAGCAAGTAGCCATATGGTGCTTGGTTGCTGGCTAGGATTAAATTATGACAGAGAGTTAGATTTAAATGGGTTAGACCCAAGGAGAGGTGTTTTCACATGTTAGAGCTGCCTAATGAACAGTGGTACCAAATTAACGCTTCCAGCGTGTGGGGCAAAAAATACTTCCATTTTGAGTCTGAAGTTCCTGGATAACAACAACAACTGGTGAATGGAAAGGAAATAAATGTTGACTTGCACCTCTGTCGCTTCAGATCTGAGGAGGGACTTTTGACCTGTGACCGCAGGCTTGGGTTGAAGCTTTTTAATTGCAACATGAGGAAAACATTTGATTTTTTTTTTCTTGTGTTTTCCTTGCTGAAAACCAGCCTGACCTGTTTTGCTTGTGTTAGTGTGACAACAGCAAGCTAACTGCAACAGAGGTGGAAAAAGAAACCCCTTTTGAGAGCAGGGAGAGAACTCACAGCCACTTTTGATGTTGGCACTTGGTTCTGAAGGCTTCAACATCACGTCCCAATGGGGGGTGTATGTGGGGGGAGGTTTGGTGCCCAGATTTGCCCTGCTTCTATTAACACCCCTGAATTTAGCATTAAAACACAAAGATGCCTTTCTCTTTGGGTCTATTTACAAAGGCAGGTGTTTGCAGTCATACCCTGGACCCTGCGATACGATATCTCTGTCTACCTTCTGCACCCAGGTGTGGCCAGCAGCTCTGCGCCAAGGGGTGCTGTCTGCTCACATCCATGTCCCTGTGCCTTGTGGCCATCACATTTGCAGCCTATGTCTTGGCAGGGCTTCCATCTCTCCTCCATTTTTCCTGCCTCTGCCTTTTGCTTCTCCCTTCCCTGCCACACACCAGTTTACACCAGTCTACACTAATTCACCTGCTCTTCCCTTTCCTTCTGGCCCTACCTGGTTGGCTGAGATACCTCCCCCCTAGCATTAGCGTAACCCTGGTGTAAACCAGCACTGGAAAAACACTGCCAGGTGCTGCTGGCATGGGAATGCTCCTCAGCCCCAGAGCAGCTGGGGAGTGGGCTGAGACAAGGTTGTGGATGTGGCATTAGGTGGGAGACCCTATGGCCCAAGTGAAACCTGGGCCAAGTTTTTGCCTGGGGAGGGCTGGGCAGAGAGAAGGGCCACTACACCATCAAGAGCATCCACCAAATGAGCTGATACAAAGCGGTGCTGCAGCTCTGAAACCCAGTGTGGCCCCAACTTCAATCCCATGCAGCTGAACAGCTTGCAGGTGAATGAGTGCCCCTGTTTGGCACAGGGTTGCTAGCCCCAGCACAGCGAGGTGCAGCTTCATTATGCCAGGCTGCTGAATTGCACTTCTCATGTGCCAGGTGAGCTGCAGCAATATGCATGTTCCCTGCGTGGTGGAAAGAAGGGAAACAGAGAAAAAGGAAATGAAAAAAGCACCCTGAGGTCTTCACTGCCCATCATGCCCAGCCCTCCTATCGTCTCAACTCAGCCATGAAGAACCACATGCCCTGGAAGCTGGGCAGCCCAAGGTAGCTGCCTGGAAAATGGCACACCTCAATGCTTCTGAAGGGGAAGGTGCTGCCCAGAGCTCGGAGAATCTCCCAGGACCCACAAACCATCTACCATATGCGCACCAGGTCTAGTCCCCACAGAGAGCCCTGAGGATAGCATTGGCCTGCGAATTTGCTGTCACCCCACTGGAAACGTTGGGCATGAAGAATGCTGCAGGCTTCATCCTTCTCCCATGGAGATACTTGTCTGGGTTAACTGCATATTAGCACGGCTCCCCAGAACGTGAGATGGCTGGCTCTGCCGAGTACTGCTTGCACACCGTTGGCCCTTGCTATTTGTTGACCACAAGGCACCTGCAGTCCTTGCCTGCAGAGCTGCTCCCAGCCTGGGCCAATCTATGGGGCTGCTCCACCCCAGGCTCTGCATTTGCTCAGGCATTTCTAGATTCCCCCAGACTGGCGCCTCATCTTCAACCCCATCCTCCTCGTGTCATCTCATTCACTCTCCCCATCCCTGGGATCCCCATGCAGAGGTAGCTAGATGGAGCAGCCCATTTAAAATGCCACAAACCAGCCCTTTTTTCAGAGGAACTTAAAAGTGCCATTCACACTGTTAAAAACAGTGGGCCTATTGCATCCCCACAGCCAGATTTCAACTGTTAGTGTAACTAGTCTCCATCTTTGCTCTTCTCCTCCAGCTTCCTCAGCAACACAAGGAGGTCTGGCAGGCATCTACTCTAGAGAGCAGGCAATTAGACTTTAGTTAAACTATCCACTTGAAGGCAGGCACAACCTCATCTCCTGTGACAGAAACAAGATTACAGACATATCATTCATTAACTATGCCCAGATTGTAATCTTGGTTGCTCTTGCTTAATTAAATAGCTTCTTAACCGCCACATTAGCTGTTCCCCAAATATTTGTATATTGGCTACCTTGCCTCCAGTGATACAATGAGTTAGAAGCACTTCCATCTTTTCCTGATTGGCAGAAGAATTTGCTTTGTCTGAAAGCAAAGAAACTTAATAGAAAATTGTGACCAGCTCCATGGAAAATGTAGGGGTTTCTGCTATTTTTCATTTTACAGTCAGCTTTAACTGTGCGTGACAAGCAAAACTGTATGCTGGGGAAAACATCTATAGAAGCACCTACGTTAATACGATCAAACTTGTGAAAATGGGAAACCCACAAGATATGACTTCTGTGGAGGGATCAAAGCTCCACGTGGGTCTGTGGCAGTCTGATTCATGGCTGGCTCAGGCTGCCTCCCCCTCTCCCGACCTAACTATGATCCATTCCCCACCTCTGATCTTTGCACCAAGACACAACGGCCCCCTCCTGCTCCTTGGTCTCCCTTATGCTAAAATAAACAAGCATTGAAACCCCATTTGCTTTGAGGGATGGAAATGCCTTCTTCCCGAACCATGGAAATGCTCAAATGTAAGTTATTGTCCTGTGGGTGAGAAGAGCCCTAAACCTCCTCCAGAGGGCAGAGGCAAGGCAAAGGAGTCCCAAAGACCCTCATGGGAGCAGATGCAAATGTCGCTAGTGTGCAGACCTTCGGGAAAGAGGGAGATTTGTGTTTACTACGTTACTTCCTTTAAGTTTTGAAAAGGCAAGTGACATTCACCCTGCCACTTCCTTACCTTGCAGCTCCTCATTTCTACTAGCACACCAAGCTGGACCTGCAAGGCCTGTATGGATTGATTCTCTTGGAGGCACCAGCTACAAATCAGTCAGACACTTCCCAGTGCTTTGGCTGATGGAGGAAAGATCCACTGAGAACAATGAGTTGCTTCACCCTGCACTAGCAGTGAGAATAGAAATTACTGAGTGACCAAGAAGGCATCGCTAGCTAAGGACCTGTCCCCCGCAGCCTATCTTTCTTTAGCCCTTCCCAAGATCACACAATGGCCTGCCTAATTCTGCCATCTCATCCCACTATGCAGATGGGGCATTGCTGGAGACCCTGAAGTCACCCACATCCTCAATTTTTGTGTGGCAGCAGCTTTGTATGATCTCCTGTGTATGATCTCCATCACCGTTCTTAGGCCAGAATATGGGGGGAGCTTCTCCACATGTGTTGGGCGAGGGAATGCAAGAACAGAGTACAAGGAAGCAGCAGGACATCTCCAAGTGTGGATGCAATCACCTGCTACTGACACGCACCTTATTCCTGAGTCTGAGAACAGAGAAAATGCTGGCATGATCCATCTGCTCACTGCCATGCAGGGAAGCAAATGACAAACAGCTGATCCAGTTAGTCACCTTAGGCTCTCTACCACCCAAGCTGAGGCTGTTTTGGGTCAGTGGCAGAGCCAATTCACTTCAGCTCACTGCTTCTCCAAGGACAGAGGCAAACTGAAGGTCATCTAAATACAGCAAGATTTGATTCCTTTAGCCCATATTCATTCATTCATGATTTTGCTCAACCGTAAGACACAAGTTAAACGTGAGCACGCACTTTCAAACAGTAGTTTGATCTGCTGCTTACAAGAAAGTTTGCAAACCGAACACTTCGCAATCCTATTGAGCGTGGATTTAGATTGAGCTGGCAAACAGGAGTAAAGACTTCAGCCAACTGCTCTACAGGCACGGCCTTTGGATTAGAATTTTTGTTACCAGAGTGAGATAAAACTCAATTAAATTCACCATGCCTGCTTCTATGTATGTGACTGCTGTCTTCAGAAACCTGCGTTGAAATCAATGCAAAATACTGCTCCTAAATGTCTTTAGCATCAGAACTTCAAATGTAAATCCCCAGGCTCCTCTTAAAATATTTCTAAGGTATTTTCTCCTGTACTAACAAAACAGGTGGTGCAAGCATCTTTTGGCATACAGAGAAATGCCATGACAAACACTCACAGATTGGGAGGCACAGAAGTTGAAATCTGGACTTGTTTTATAGCCTGGATTGCTCCAACACTTTATGATAAACCATCGTTTGGGTACGGTTCCACTCTTTCTTTTGCCATGCCCAAGACAAAAACATGGAGTTGCCAGGTAGAGCATTGCATCCTAGCATGTGGATGCAGAGTCTGTTTATCTTCTGGTGGGACTTGGGTGATGGATCCCCGCCAACCAGAGAGCTCATCCAGCATCTAGCACATACCTCTGCATGCTCCAGTTGGAGATCTGCTACATGAAGGGGTTTACTCCATCTCTGGTAAGAGGCAGGTGGGTATCACGGACTTGCTCTTTCTCCTTTAACCCTCCGAGAGCTGTAGCACCTTCTGAGTTCTGGGTAGGGTCCAATACTCTACTGTGCTCAGTACCAAACTGGCAAAAAAGAAGTTAGGTCTTATCCCAGCACACGTGCAGAAGAGAATACCATCAGAAAGGCTGGATTGCAGCGTTTGGACTGGACACCCAAAGCCAGTCAAAATACTGCAATATCCCACGGGAGACTGCGGGGTGGCCATCCTCAGATATTTGAGCTGTGCTTCATTTGGGGAACTCCCCCACTTGCATGAATAGTGTTCACACAACATCCAGCTGCTGCCCATCATCACCTTGTCCCCCTCCCCACCCACCAGAAGACACACGACTTCTACCGATTTCACAGTTCCCTCACCATAATGAGTGAGCCTAGGGAGTGAGATGGAGAGCGCACACATTAACTCTCACTACTGCTGCTTTCTTCAAGATCTCCCAGATATTGGCATTTTGCAAAAAAGACCCCAACAAACCCACGCTGAACTCATTCTGAGAATTCTTTATTGCTTTTGCAATCTTCTCTTTTCAGGAGTTTCCCAAGAACTTGTGAAAGAAACATGGGACCTGTTGATTAAACACCATCTTCAGTATTCGAGTAAATGCATGCTTGAAGACAAAGTCATGTTCACTGGCTGTTTCCAGTGTCTGGAAATGTCTGAATGTCCCTAGTTGAACAGTGCTCAGAAGAATTGTGGGAAAGCGAACAGTGTTACTGAATGGTCGCAATGGGAGCAGCAATATGAATGGCATGTGAGGTCTACTGTTGTCCTCCCCTGAAATGTAAGCCTAGACAACCTGTCTGTTTGGGCTGGGCTTTTCCAGTTGCAGCTCTGAGCAGAAGAGACAGAGGGACTGAAGCGTTTACCATACTGTCTGTCTGACATTCACCCAGGGAGATTTCTTCATTCCCTGAGCTTCTTTCACCTCACTCCACTCCAGCTTTATGTCTGGAACCTCATCTTCAGGCTCTGGATCCTCACGGACAGTCCCCTCGGGCAGTGCGACAACGATAGGCAGAGGGCCCTGCTCCTCGCGGAACTCTACTACATAGAGATTCTTCTGGTTTGCTAGCTGTTGGTGAGTCTCCTGGGAGCAGGAAAGGAAAAGACAGTCAGAGCAATGATGCACAATGTTGGTTTACTTCAAGTCAAACTCTACATGGTACAAGGGGTAGGGAAAAAAAAAAAGTAATTTACTAATAAGAAGTTTGAACACTGCGTAAATTAAATGACTCGTCAGGCTCATCCTCATGGGTTTCAAATGAGCTAATTGAATAAACAGCAGGAATTCAGATAGAAGATACACTAGCATCACAATGTCATCCTAGAGGAACTTGCTTGTGGAAAGGATCTGGCCAGAAAAGGCACATCCTGCTAAGGAGGATGCAAGTTGGCATGTTAGTAATGTGCAGTAACATTTTTACATCTTTATATGGATATGAATTTTGCTTTGATAACAATAAAGTGCTTATTACTGCCCTGACAGGTAATGTTAGCTAATATAATGATATGAGTTTAACACTATGTTCAACTATACCTCTTCCTCGCATACAAGTTGTTTTGTTACACTCACGTTTTACAGAATAGATGTCTACTGGGAACAGTAAATTTTTCCCATCGAGGGCAGTCAAGAAAACATACCAAGTGCACATTTGTCAAAGCAATAATCTATACAGCAGGCCCTTCTTCTATGCTTCTATTCACTCTGTGGAAGGCTTCTTCTAGTCAATGCATTGAAAATATATTACAGACTTCCTCAAGTCTGATGAACCTCAGATAGTGATAAGCATCTGTAACTATCTCATTAGGCAAAGAGAATCATAACCCCCTCCCCTCCTGAGGCTAAACTGGAAAAGTCGGCTAGGATGAGGTGACAGATTTGACAACTCTAGCTTTGCAGGGCTATACTGGGAACATAAACAGCTAAATCCTGGCAGCTACCAAGAGTCTACAACCAAATGAGATAACCAGGAATTTCCAAAGGACTGACTCATCCTAAGGCTGGTGTTCAAAGGAAGTCAGATGAAATCCTATGTGTTGGATCTTTCCACCAACTGCAGGCAGCTGGCTCAGAGAGAGACATCTCCATTGTGAGCACGCTGAGCTAGAGAAAACAACACCACCTCCCTGATTTACTTCCGAAATCTGAATTATACTGCTGTGACGTTCGGTCCTTAGGCAATGAAAACTGAAAGCAGACGAACAAGTAGCAGCTAGTCCACGCTTTCCTCTGCCCATGATTTTTCAGGTGTCATCAAAAATACTACAAATAAAAGCCCAGAAATTCAAATGTTCTCTGAAAGTACCTGGCTGTGACACAGGCGTGGTTACGTACAGCTTTTTCTGACTGGACAACTTCATACAACTGCTGAGGAATTATTTGCATGCCGATTTTGTTTGCTCTTTGGAAAATTATTTCATTTTAAGCCTAGAATATAAACCGTTTGACCACAAACTATTACAATATCAATCCTGATCTGTCGCCCGACCTAATGTACCAAACCACTGAGAGTGCAATCTACCTGCTGTGTCAAGCCTTTAAAGAGCGCTCTGGTAATGTTTATCAAGTTTTTGGATCCAGAAACCTTGGCGTACATGTCTTTAATACCAATTAGTTTGCAGATGGTGATGATAGCTCGGTGGCAACGAAGACCATACCCTGGGGGGAAAAAAATTTAAAATATTAGCATTTTGTGTTTATTTGTAAGCATAAAACTTAGCTAAGGAAGGAGAGAGAGCTCAGACCTCTTCTTAGTTGTTTTTGTTATCTAGCACGTTAGAACACATTATGTCTTAAAAATGGCAAAACTGTTTTGGGAAGAGCATTCTTCCCAGTCTTTGCAGCCGTGCTAATGTAAAGATCATGGGGATTTTTAATACTAAATATAGCTTGCTTAACATATTGCAGAACCAAATGAAAATGTCACCACCTATAAACTCAAAACATAAAACCATAAAAAAATGCAACCTGAAGAATTGCTTAATACCACAGGTTTGGGTAGCATTCCTTAGAAGTACCACTGGCAGCTTTAGAAGAATCTTCCACAAACATACCCCACCAGCCTGGGAACATTCATCAAACAAAAGGCAATTTTTCTCTCTCACTCAGCAGAAAAATAATACTCTAGTACTTCCCAAAACAAAAAATAATAACAATATTAATAAAAAAGAGCAGATAAGCAAGGCACCATGTTTACTTAAGAGAGTATTAAAAAGAAGCCATTACAAGGGGATGGGATCTAAATGTAACTAGATCTCAACCAAGACTGTCTCTTCTAAAAGGCAATACCTGCACAGCTTCAAAACCGCTTCCTGTGCAACTTCAGGTGACCAACTGCTGAATGACAGCTTCAGTAACTCCTAACAACGGCAAATCTGACTTTAAAGTCCTGGTTTACATATATAATGGAGGGATTTAAACTCCTCTCCTATGGTGAAGTTACTGCTCAAAACAACCGAGAGGCTCAAGCAGTGCCGTCCTTTGGGCTTCCTTCCAGATGGACTCTGCAGTAGAAGCAATATCAGCGTCTCTCATTCCCAGGGAGATTGCTGCTGGATGAGAAGCCTACAGTGCTTTCCTAAAGCCTGAGATTGTGCTTAAGACCTCTATCAGACATAGAGCTGGCAGAGAAATTGAGGATGGAAGGAAAAGGAAAGTCTAAAAAGTCTGTGGGTAATAATGCTCCAACAGAAAAGTCTGTCTAAACACGGAGCTCTGGGAAAGAGGGTGAGTGCCCACTGGCACTGCTGTCTCTGACTGCTCACAGGCCTTTGGGTAGCCAAATAAAACCTATCGAATTTTTATTTAATTCCCTTCTTGGTAAGCAAAGCTTTGAGCAGTGAAAGCGGGACTGAAGCTGCCTGCAAACTGAGGAAGGCATCATTGCACCCACTTATACCATCCTATTGAGGTCAACTGATTTGGCACCTTTCAAGTGGGAAACTGAGGGGAAAAAGGGGAAAACAGAAACAACATATACAGAGACACAGACCTTGATAAAACAAACACAAAGATAATGACAAGAAACAAACATCGCCCCAAATTGATGGGCTATCAAGAAACTACAGGTGTCACTTCCAGGAAGATCAATCTGGACTTTGCAACTGCTAAGACTGTAAAGCAGGGGAGACCCAGCCTGGGAGGGCTGTGAGAGCAAATAGCGCTATGCAAACCCACCAGCGGCTGGAGCAGTAGCATGGGTCACAACCCGTCTGCTTGGTGGTGACTGCTGGCAGGGCTGAGCATCTTATCTTCCCCAATCCTGGTCTGCATGAGGCGTGGATGTGTTTTCACTTTATAGCAAACTAAGCTAGACTAAACTTAAGCAGATGGAGGAGGTGGCTGTATATCTAACATCACTTAACAGTAGCTTTGTGGAAGAACAGACCTGTGTGCTGAGAGCTACCAGGCATGGACTCACTACTACTACTAACATCAAACCTACAGGAGCATTTGCCTGTACTAGAACTGGGATCAAAATGAAGAACAGCTTGCAAAGACGGAGAAATGAGAACGCTGCTACTGTGTAACAATCAGATGGTCTTTGTGCCGGCATGGTGCAGCACAACAAGCCAAGGTAGATAATTCCTCTAAGTTTCCACAATGGGAGCTCTTGATTTTTGGGAAAAGAAAGCAGAAACGGTCTCAAGGAAGCAGCAGGCTGGACACTGTCCTGGCTCCAGCTCACGACCACAGGTAGTCTGAGGCTGTTGAGGGAGGACATCTACCCATGCCATCCCAGTACAGACTTTGGAAGGACAGGCCTACAGATGTTGCTTGCACTCTGATTTCCATTTGGAACACTCCCACTACTGGATACTAAACTACCTCTGAATCTTGTTTTCATAACAGCAATTAAAAATCATTGAAAAATAATAGAAAGAGCCCATCAGTTCTCCAAAGCCTGCATGGGGCATATGGTGGGAAGAAAAACCTGCAGGGTTCTTCTAAAGGCCTTTGCCTCCAACATCTATGCTATTAGATTAGACTTTTCCACATCTAGGTAATTTAGAGCTGAAGGAACTACACTTCGGAAGCATGAAAGAAAAGCATGAGTAGAGCTCCCAGCAGTTTAAGAGTGAGAAACACCTATTTACAATAAACACAGCCATGTCATCAACAGTACGTATTTCTACTGAAAAACAACTGATCATCTTCAACATTGAAAAAATGGTTGACTAGCATCAAATGATCCATCTCTGAAGTAAACAGACATTGTACAAATTTAACTTAATCAAATAAATACCAGTCATTAATTAATAACTTTGAAATTTCCAGGCAGCTTTAATTACCTTTGTTTTGCTTCTTCATGCGGATGCTTGTCCTTTTAAATTTCACTGTAATGTCATGATAAACTGGAGGGGAGGAAAAAAAGGCATTACAGCTAAATTCTTCCTTCTAGAAAAGCTTTATCTCAGCACACTTAAGGACTACCTTTCTTTTTCGGAACTGTGAATGGGAACTTTCCTCTGAGTTCTTTAAAGAATAGGGTTAATCTAGGTAAGTTTCTGGAATAGATTAGGAATGTTTTCACATCCGTAAATACTGTTATTGTATACAAAACCAAGCTTCACTTGAAAGTTATGAAGTGTCTGTATGCCTCCAACGATCTTCATTTAGCTGTGAAGTGAGCTCATGTGATACTATTTAACCCTCTTCCTCATACTCAGATTTTTTTAATTCAGCTAACCTAAGATTTCCGCATAGGCTTCAGCATTCTTGGATTTTCCATACAGAGTATTCCATACCATTCCAGTCTTCCTGCTACTCACTGCTTCTAAAGGAAGCCCCCCAAACTCATATCCTCTGGTGGTTGGCTGTTATATATATATCTGATTCAGTCTCTGCATAGTGGATTCTAGCACTGCAGTCAAGGTGGCTCAGAGAGGACCTCTATGTTAACTGAAATGGAAAGCACGGTGGAAACACCAGGAGTTTTTAAATCAAATCCCCAATCTGCTAGTGTGAAATAATAATGCTCAAGGAATAAAACTCATGAGGATAACTGCAGTTTTGCATTTGTAAGTTTCATTGCATTCAGTTTTATTATACTGAATATTTATCTACACAATGACTTCATTAAATATTCATATGCTCTGTTACTATCTTTCAATTTTTTTCTGGAAGATATCCGAGTATTTGGTACACTGGTACCACGTCTGACATCAGAGAGAACTTGTATGGTATTAAACTGAACTAACAAAAAGCTACCATGAAACATCAGACTGACTTCTCCACCCCCCGTTCTTCCTGGCTCCTGGGCTTTGTCAGCATACATGGATGGAGTCAACAGGGAATCATCTCTGACATGCAAAGGGGAAAAGCACAGAGTTCGCTGTAGAGGAGAAATGTCCAGTCTCTGACTTCCTTAACTCAAATTGTGCCAGCAGAGTTCTAATCTTGCTACTACCCCTTTCCCCCACCACCATTTTTAAGGAGCCCAAAATACTATGCATTAAGCATCCAAATTTTAAACACAGAATCATAGAATAGCTGGGGCTGGAAGGGCCCTTTAAAGGCCACCTAGTCCAACCCCCTGCAGTAAGCAGGGACATCTTTAGCTGGATCAGGCTGCTCAGAGCCCTGTCCAGTGTGACCTTGAACGTTTCCAGGGATGAGGCTTTTACCACCTCTCCAGGCAGCCTGTTCCAGTGTTTCACCACCTTCACTGTAAAAAATTTCTTCCTTATACCTTGTCTAAATCTACGCTCTTTCAGTTTTAAAAGCATTACCTCTCGTCTTATCACAACAGGCCCTACTAAAAAGTCGGTCCCCATCTTTCATGGCAAAGGCAGGAGACTAGAAGGGAGATAAAGTTCTCAATATTTTAACAACAGCATCTCATATTATGTAATCTTAACTTTTCTTCACGGACCTTGCTACAACTGTTGATACAAACCTGAGCAAAAGTAAAGAGTAAACCACGTATTAATTCCAGGTAATGGTAATTTATTTTACACAGGGACTGACAGACTACGTACTCTGACATTACCACTGTCTAGCTAAAACAGCCTGGAGCTAAGATTTCGTACAGCATGCTGAAGAAGTAAATGCATGAAAAATGCAATGCATCAGATCAGAAAGGTTTTAGTTTACACCTTTCTTATGCTTCATAACTAGATGCAACCAGTTCTTGTTGGTATTCAGTACTAACTAAAAAAAAAAAATCATAATACTTACTTGTGTGGTTCTGATATAGCTCTATAAAATGTAAGCAGCGTATTGCTTTATTCTTTGCCTAGGGAATAAAAGCAGAAAACATTTTTTCTTTAATTGTTCTGCAAAGTATTCAAGATTTATCATTGTTCAGCTAACTAGACAAAAAAAAGGCAAGAAATAAAACTTAGCAAAACAGGTTTGCCAATTTAAACCATTTACTTTACGGAAATGAAAATGTTCTCTTTAAAGAAGTGCTTTCTCTTAACAGATTTAATCTCTAAAAAGATTTCTCAATATAGTAACAACTTTATCAAACTGTGTGTATTTCACCATTGCTACTTTGATAGCTTAGTTGAGCATTACAACACAAACGAAATTAATGTACATGGACAAGTAACATTTTTAAGTCTAAAGGAGCCACACATAATAAGGTCATTATGCACGTGTAAGAGAAAAATTCCTACACACTAACCGTACAAGAAGATCGTGTGCTATATTGATATAAGAAACAAATGACCAAGGGGGGACAGTTATACACCACAGAAAAGGTAGCAGAAAGAAAATAAAGAGCGCCTTAACAGGATCTCATTGCAGGGCAACCCCATTGTGTGTGTCAAAAGGGCAACGAAGCTGGTGAACGGTCTGGAGCACAAGTCTTATGAGGAGTGGCTGAGGGAACTGGGGTTGTTTAGTCTGGAGAAGAGGAGCCTGTGGGGAGACCTTATCGCTCTCTGCAACTACCTGAGAGGAGGCTGTAGTGAGGTGGTCTCTTCTCCCAAGTAAGAACTGATAAGATGAGAAGAAACGGCCTTAAGTTGTGCCAGGGGAGGTTTAGATTGGACATTTGGAAAAAATTCTTCACTGAAAGGGTTACCAAGAACTGGAACAGGCTGCCCAGGGAAGTCGTGGAGTCACCATTCCTGGAGGGGTTTAAAAGACGCGCAGACGTGGTGCTTAGGGACATGGTTTAGTGGTGGAGTTGGCAGTGCTGGGTTAACGGTTGGACCTGATGATCTTACAAAGTCTTTTCCAACCTAAATGATTCTCTGATTATTTGTATCAAAATGGACAAATTATGTACATGGACTTACTTCCTTGCATAGACTACAAAAGATACTGATTATGAAATAATTGTAGATATGAAGTATTTGAGCTTGTCATCAAGCAACAAATAATTCAATCAACATACTTTCCGTAAAGCATTCATCCTGTCACCTCCTTTCCCCATTGCAAAACCTGCAAGACAGAAAAGAGTCATTTTATTACTGAGAAATAGATGAGCCAGGAGCTTCAGAAAGAAAAGGGGAAAAAACGGAGAACTTGACAACCACGTTTAGTATGTGTTATTTCCAGTCCATTGCACAGATCATATTCAGAAAACGGTTCAGAGAAAACCGCAGTTTAGGAGTTACAAATGCCTAACAATTGGACGCCAACTGCTTGTTGTAAAATGAAAACAAATAAGGCTTAAGTTATTTCTTTTGTGTACTTGTCCCAACATCTGAATAGGGGCAAACACTTCAGCCAAAAAAATTCCAGTCTTCTGCTTAAGAAGAAAGAAGAGAATGAAGGAAAAAAAAAAGCTGATTCAGATATATCAACTACACCTGTACAAAGATTAGCTCCAAGACTCTCTATGTACCTTTTCTTACCCTCCAAACTGCAATTAAAAAGTTTGAGGAATGCATCTGGACTTGAATCTTTCACACAAATGAAGTTCTACAAAACTGTAGTTGACAGGAAATACAGTTGTCTTATTAAAGCATCCCATCATCAGAGGTGTCTAGTCAGCTCATAATAAAAGGAGACTACATCCAAAAGGTAGATGCTCTGCGTATATATTGAAAGCAAGATTTTCTTTACCAGAGTCATATAGCAATACAGATGCAGATGCAATTTCCTCCTGATAGAGGCAGGAATTCTCCATTATTTGGATTGTAATATTTGGATTATTTACTTCAGAGCTATTAATTTCCTATTGTTTTAGCTGATTCTTCTAATTCTGCACAGCTGTTTTATCTCTAAGTCCATTTGAGGTCTAACGGGAATTTTAACGTACATCAGTTTGTACACACAAGAGAACAAAAGAAACTATCTCCTCATGGAAAAAACCAGCACATTCAAGGGTGCTTCTTAAATAAAATTTATTCTGCAACAACAAAAGAAAGTCTTTAACTCCTAGTATTTGAAAATTGAGAGATAAACACTATTTCCTCAATAACAGAACTGGAAACACGCAAGAAACTCATTGCTGTACCGGGTGGCTACATAGTGCCTTTATGCTGGTATCCGGGACTAGTTAATTCAAGTTAGATGCTGCACTGAGACGGTCTGGTTGCTTCTAGAGATAGCTTGGCCATCACTACCCTGCATACATAATTGCGTTTAGAACTCCGTTACAAGGAAATCACAACCAAACTGAATGTCTCTGATCAGTATTCCTTCTTCAGTCGTTGCTGAGAGAAAAGGAAACAGGTCTCTCTTCTCAGCTCATACTATAAGATCCTTCAAAATGTTAATGTGTCTTTTGATTTTTCCTATTTATTTTATGCCACAGGCAGCATTTCTATGGTTAGACTTCAAATTGCTTGCTGAAAAGATGGTTATGAAGAGTCATAATGGAGGAAGTCTACAAATGGGTCAAGCTGCAGATCACTGAAGTTACAATAAGACCAGACTCAAAGGGCTCCAAGTATTCTATGTTTCCCTAAAAGTGTAAATACAGTATTTGTAGGAAGCCCATAGAGTAGATTTTTTTTTTTTAAATGATTAACTTCAATAAAATAAGAAAGCTTCCTAAAGAGGTTGAATCAGAAGGAAATTTAGGGTCTTCTGATTTGACAGGCTCATTAAGAATTTCTGAATCAAAGATGCTAGCTGAGAGTAGGAGTAAACAAGCGCTTTTCAACTAAAAGCAGTAATACTTCCAAGCGACTACCCTGACACTTAGGGTGAAGAAAAAAAAACCCCAAATAGCCAAATTTATATTCTACCTATCTAGAAATACTAACACTAGCTAGAAAATAACCTAGGAAAACATACAACCAGTCATGCTGCCCTTTGCTGCAAAGTGGTCACTGCTGCTAGAGCAAACACAAATAAAACCCCAACAACATGAAAGTGATTTTCAAAACCAGAAGGACAAAGCCACATCTGCTAACTCCTACTTCCTTATGACTCTATCTGCTCTACTAACCATTGAGGCCCAGATTCATCTCAGTCAAGCACAGGCACCTCTGTGAAGAGCACACTCAGCTGAATTTTCTTCCACCATCAGTGCAAGAGGATGAATATTTCCTGGGGCATATCAGCCCACATGCAATTCCAGGCACCTTTCGCAGGTGCCTAATTCTTTTCTTTGACTTGAGAGTAAACAACTACAGTCTGCAGCTAGGTGCCTAAGGCTAGCTAAAACAAATGCAGATATGCATGGCTGAATACTTTCAGGATTTGATTTTTTTTTTTCCCCCCCAAACATAAACAGTATCTAGAGTAAAAAGACAGTGTGCACAGGAAAGCATAGATGATACTTTCTGGTAGGATCTACCAGTGGTTACTTCTATCACTCTAGAGTTAAACAAAAGATGTTTTTACCACTGGATAATACAGGCTCCAAACCTAATCATCCATTACTACTTTTCCCAATTTCTTTTTTCATACAAAACAAAGTGTACAAATGAATAGATATATAATTTGATTATAAAGTTTACTTCTATAGATGAAACTCAAGATTCTTACAGGTATTTCAATATTGTCCAGTGGAAAATTGGGTAAATTCTCTTCCCCCCTGACTTTAAATCACCATGCCTCCCTAAGTCCTATTATAAGCAATGATTATATATAAATTAATGCACTTTTACATACAGTAAACTCACATACCTGCAGCTCCTTTACCATTTCCAATAGCCACTAAGGCACGTACTGATTTTTTTCTGCCTTCCTTTGCCTTCATACAAAACACATTTTTCACCTGAAGAAAAAAAAAACCAGAAAACATCTTGTTATGGCACAGTCTAACTGTATTTTTTTAAAGAGTTTACCAAAAAGGAATTAGGTCTGTGATGAAACCTTATAATACATAGTATCATCTGCAGTGGGACACTGGCTTTGAGGCATTAAACATGTAAAGGCTGCTAAAAATCTGTACTCACACAGAGTAGGTTACCTCAGTACAGTTTCATTAAAATACCCCCTCTGTTGTGTTTAGCTACACAACAGAAAACGCTCTAATGCCACTAGCTTTGTGTGTGATTTCAATCGTGACAAAAAAACATGCCAAAAAATTTGAAAATGACATCCATATCTCACTGCGCCACTCACATTTTAACATATTTTAGAAGCTCTCTCAGGATTTGCTCAAGGCATGTTGTTGCTTTATATGGGTTACACCTTAGGACTGAAATGTGCTTGCAGACTGCAGAAGGTAGTCTCGGTACTGAGATAACAAGCTGCTAAAAAGAAGACTTAATTTGAGGGGAGGAAGAAAATTGTATTTTTGTATTCTGGGAACTAGAAATGTTTACAGAAACTCTGCAAAACTTTCAAGCAGAGGTGCAAGAAAGCGATCTTAGTTTGGAGTGGGGACACACAACAACAATTGGAGAGAGAAGTGGCCTTATGGTTAGCACACTGGAAATCTAAATTTGCTTCTGTCTCTGCCACAGACTCCCCTGTGTGACTATAGGCAAGTCACTGCTTTCTAGTTTCCTACCTCAAATGGTCTAATATATATTCTGAGACCCTTTGTTCATCTAGCTCCTGTTCTAGCTTCCTTGGCTTTGCCGATATATTAAAATACATGTTTATTTAAATCCAGATGTATATTTTTATGTATAGTTTATATACTGTATATAATATATAAACTATAACATATAGTATATGTGTGTGTGTATATATATATACACACAAACACAGATAAAATAACATACTGGATATTGCTTGACTGTGTCTCAATTACCAGTCAAAAGATACAAATTACTTTATGGTTCATTTCTCCCCTTCCTCTCAAATGCATTAGGGTCTACTTTCTTGAAGCCTCAGTGTGATTTCCATAAATTATAACAACAGTTAAACACTCATCGTTAATACATGAATTAAGCAGTGGCCCCCCCTTCCCCTACATGTAATTCTTCAGTAAGGTAGTCTAGTTGTAGCATTATACATCTGAAAGCACGTTATTATAAAATACTTGGTCATGGCTTAAACGTTCTTACTCAAATTCACAAAAAAAAACCCAACCCACAAAAATTCCACTGACATCACTAGGTACAGATTAGGAATGAGTCCTTCTGAAAAACTCCACCTTGCTTTCATTAAATTAAAGATGCTGTTAAATTCAAGGTGCACATATACTCTAGAGAGCACTTCAAAGAAGTATCAGCTTTGCTAATTGCTTATTCCAAGCTATTTTTCTTTTTGCAATCTTACTGCTTGCAAGAACAAGCTAAAAACCAAGCCCCCTAAAATGAAAGTGCCATGGAAATAGGCTATTTGCAGAAAATGCAAAATAATGATGAAAGAAAGAAAAGAGAGTGAAGTAGACTGATCTCCCCAGCAGCATCAAGAGCATACTAGTTTTGCTTTGCACATACTTTTGTCTTCCACTGCCAATCTGAATAAGTCCTTGTACAAAAAAACCAGTTGGCATCCATATTGTCAAAAATAAAGGCTGTGACGTCTGTAGAAACCTACTCAAGAAATATTCTTCTCTCTTTCCAGAAGGTGGCAATAAAGATACATGCAATGAGCTTCTCCAGAAGCCTTGCTAAAACTGCACTTGTCAGCTGTTTCTGAGCAGCTCTGAAGGAAAATGTGTTCAGTCACCCATCATAATCAGTGCTATTGCATCTCTCCTGAAACACTGTGAAGGCCTTTCAAGCTTGATAACGTACACAGACTGCTGCAACAACATTGTCCTTAGATTCTCCCTGCCACAGCCTTGTGCCTCCTTACATCAAAGAAAGCAGGGCTCTTCTGGCGCGTGCTCAGCAATGCTTCCCTTTGTCTTAGAAATAAAACACGCAGCTGAAAGCCCATCATTAAACTGTGCTGGAATTAATTAATACACAATGAACAACGTGACACTTTTAAAACTGCATGACCTCTGAAAAGTGACTGAACCTAAGACACAATTACCCCTATTTACTAGATTGCCACTCAAGCCAGATTTAAAGCCAATTTTTAAAATTTGAAAACAGGCATGCTCAACCTTAATCTGTCCCTCAAACTGACTGTCTCCCTGCACCCATTATTCAGTGGTGCTAATGCAAATTCAGCTTGCTTTCAAGAGCTGAGGGAAGAACAGCATCTTTCAAATACAAAATGAACCCACCTCAAACATTTATTAAGAGGAGAAATGGCAAGTAATAGTATCAAAGGCGGAATTGAAAGTGTAGAAGTAGGCTACAGTCAGAGACAGGCTGCTAAAGGGTTATTGTGATTTCAAGTATTTACCATCTGTAGCACTCTGTTAGAAGAAGGTAAAAATACGACACTTCCCTAGAGATTTTGTTCTTGTAAAAGCAGAATGAATCACAGGCCAAACAATTGCCCTTGGAAAGCCCTCCTTTCTAGAAATCATATTTTTTTCGTGATTTTTAGGAACCTGCTACCTCTAGGCCGCACTCTCGACACTGCTATTCTTTGCTGTTGTTATGCTATTCTTTTGCTGCTGTTATGCAGAGGAAAGGGTCTGCACAAGCGGATCCCCTGTGGTATAAGGGCCTCTGGTCCCAATACTTCTCTAAGGTACAAGGTGAGACAAGATAAAATAAGAGCAGGGCGCAGTGCTGAAAGAAAAGCACTTCCATGCAAGTGAGTCTAGAGGGGCTTAGGGACACAGTTAAAAGGGCTGGGAAGCCAGTTGCTCAAAAGAATTCAGTAATAAACTTGTAAACAAGCCCATGTTAGCTAGATCATGTCCATAGCACCCTTCTCTCTTCTGTGAAAAGCACCAAGGGCCGAGCAGATTTGTACCACAGTGACAGTACATCTCCTAGTTGTAACTTAAACATGTTGTACCTAAAAATCAGAAGTTGCACAAGCTAGCTGGAAGGCAGAACTAGTATTGCTGATAAGTGACAAGGGTGTCACATGGTTTCCCTAAAGGTGTGCAAGTGGTGGGCAGTGGCAAGGGCAGTGCTTCAGGAGAAGCCAAATTAGTCTGTTTTCTGTTCTGATTACTAAGATGTGACTTTCTCAAGGAACAGTACCTAGTGAATTTATCAGTCCACACTGTTAGGGAGGGCTGAATTCAGTAGCCCAACAGAGACAAAGCTGCCATAGCTCCATGCTCCCAGGTCCACCAAGTAGAAAGATGTTAAGGGATGTCAGGAGCGGACACCACCTCCTGCAGCTCAGGGCCCAGGACTCTCTCCTGCCCGGCCACTGGAGCCCAGCCCAGACAGGCTGAGGGACATGGCTGCAGGTTAAAAAAAGCAGCAAAGCCAAGTAAGTATCCCAGAGACACACATGCAGGACACTGACATGCCCAGTTACAGTCTATCACAGACAAGGCACTGCCTTAAAGAGCACCTACACACAGGACTTCCATAAAACCTAAGTATGGACTGCCATGTCCCCTTCCTCCTCTTCAGCTAGTAGAAACTGAAGTTCATTAGGTGCAGGCACATACACACCATTCTCTAGCTTCACAAGTGCATGCACATTTGCAGATCCCTGGAGCACCAGCATGGCCCCTCTGTCCATCTGATACCACTGCCCAGGCTCACTTACCTGCTTCATGGATCTTCTACCTGCCTGCTGGACCAGTTTAGTCCTCACTAGCAAATATGCAGCACTCACTTGTCTCACAGGCACTCCACATTTGCAGGTTCCCTGAAGACAAGCAACTGGTCCTCTGCTTGCCTGACCTCAGGCTTCCTACTAACTGGCTAGTCCAGCTTGAAGTTTGCTAGTAAATTACACCTCCCCCTCCCACCCCACCCCCCCAGCAAACATCAGGTTTGGGGGAGATACAGATCCTCACCTCCCTGCTGCCTCCACAGGAGCTGGCACCAGGTAAATAGGCTGTGACCTACGGTCCTGCTCCAGGCACCAGCACTAAGCCCCTGACTTGCTTCATTCACCATCCCAGTAGCTGATTTTCAGGACACACACCATTCCTGTGGCTGGTGGCAAAGACCACCACCTGCTCCAGCAGCTTGCATCAAGACCCCACTCGCTCTGGCTACTGACACCACAAGTCAGGGGCACCCACAACACCAGCCCAACTGCAGTTGCTGGCACCAATTTCACTCCCACTGGTCCCCTCATGTAGCTGGCACTCTGGGCTCAAATTCTCTAGGACCCTCCCTAGATCCAGAGAGCTATGGCCTCTTCAAATACTGATGCCAAGACCCTTACTTGTGTCAGTAGGTGGCACCACAGTCCACAGGGCACCCACACCCCCTGTATGACTCCAGTTGCTGGCCCAGTGTCCACTCACACCAGTCCCACCACAAAGTCCTTGCATTTAGTCCCTGTAGACCTCACACACACGAGTGAGATTAGAGACAATTATGAAAAGATTTAGTAGGAAGATAAGACTGTGGTGATCAGGTGCAGGGCTCAGTTGGACAAATAATACTGACTGGCTGCATCTTAAATGCAGCCAGCCCCTGTTATACTCCTCTTTTCTGTCTATTCCTCTTTTGTTCACCCCAACCCCTTCCCCTGCACATTCCTTCACCAGTTTGCACAGTTCCAATGACACCCCTCCAACATCCTGGATCCTCAGGTTTGCATCCTCATCAGTAGCAAAGTACTGGTTTGCCTGCAGATTTTTGATAGCCCACCAATGAGTGTGACCCACAAGGCTTGTTTCTTTTCTTTGCCTGCATTATGCCCTTCTGTCAGGTCTGTGTCTGTGTATTTTGCTTACAGCTTCCCTCTTTTCCTTGGTGTCCTACTGGACCTCTAGCAGATAATCTTAATGAAATAAACATCCTCACACTCCACATACCCTTAGCA